TCGCAGGGAACTTATTTATCGCCGCTCGTTTCCCCAGCGCTCGCCCACAAATATGGAACAGGTTATACAAATACTCGAGAAAACCACATCGCCAGGTGAGTAAAGCACAAAGAGGGGCGAATGTCCGCCGAACTGCGTTAGAAAAGAGAGGAATGTATCGGTGGGTCTTCCCGCCTTGTTTGTTACCATACGTGAATCGGACGAAATGGCCAGAAATTTCACAAATTCTGATGCATTGGGGCTCATCATTGCATTCGCCCTTCGCGGCAGAACGAATGTCATGTAGTTTAAGCGCAGATGAGATGTGGATGGAGTTGTAAAGCCAAATAAACCCGCAAAGGCATTCTGGGTCCAGGCGGCCATATTAACGTCAACAACTTCAAACTTCCACTCGTGGTTTTTAAAAATATTTAAAAACGCTCCTCGCCATTTTAGAATGGAGACAATGATCCCACCAGACCCCAAAATGTGGTGGAAAACTTCTTGAATATTAAGCGTAGGCCACCGACACGTGGTAGGGGGTAGGCTTAATAACGTTTTTATGAATGGCCTTGCTACCACCTCAGACCAGGCCATGCTGGTGGTTCAGGGTCTATTTGGGGTTGGTGGATCGAGGTCGTGGAATTACAATGGAGGAAGGGAATTAAATCTACTAATAAGGTGGATGAAAGAGTATGGAGTGTGCACCTTAGTCGATGAGAATGTAGGTCTAGATGTTTGTATTTATTATTAATTTATTTGTGAAGTAGCCTGCTAAGAAATAACCCAATATATTTTATTTGTTAGACATTTGATTTTAGTAAGGCTATGAAAAATCTTGTTTCTATTTTGGTGTTGCTTTAATACCTTTCAGGTACACTATAATAACGAAGAACACTTTATAACGTACTTTCATACTTATATTGGTAGTTGCGCAGGTGTAATTGTAGTGGATCATCACTATTTGTCAAATTGCCTGCATTACAAAGGCATACTGATTGCTCAGATGAAAATGATGCTAGGTTTGATTTAGGCTGGAAGAATTCTACCACATTTCACTTTGTATTTCTTGAAGCAGTCCTTGCTTAAAAAATCCATTAGTTTTGGTATTACTGGATTTTTCATATTCCAAAGTGCATTTATTGTGTTCTTGTCAGCGATAGGCAAATTTGACATCAATTTAAGACCTGCTCCATGGGGAGGTTGAAATATTATTGGGAAATGGGAAATACTAAGCTAATACTTTTTTAGTACTGATGTACACACAAGCGAGTTACAACTCCATGTCACAAAATTTATTCACAAATTTAATTTAATAATCGAAGTTGCCATGATTGGGTTGCCCTTCAGGCAATGCTGAGGAGAGGGTTGGTCATCTTCACCTGGTATGTATAGCAAAATAAAGAGCCAAAACTCAGGAGCACCAAGTTGACTTGTGGTGGGAACGGCACTTTCCCTAGTCTCTCCTTTACTTTTGGCATTGCCATTTGTGTCTGCTGATTATTTCTTGTACCATTAAATGCAACTTTTTGTCCTCTACAAGCACATTAATTTGCCCAATCTAAGTACATCCATACTGTAAAGATCAACCAATGTCAGGTATCTACCACTTCAACCAACAATATAGAAAAGAGACAAGTCTGTGTTATGTCTTGATAGGGATTTCATTACCCAACTCAGGTATTTATTCTCGTGTAATGAGAACTGGTCTGATGATCATTTCCGTAGTAATCACAACCGACAAACTTGGTGTTAAGTCCCGAGGGAAGTGTGTAAAATCAGCTCAAATAATGCTTATAATTGGCTAATGAAACTCTAGACTTGTCTGCCATCTTTAAAAGTACGGAATGATGTGCCAATAATAAAAAAATATATATAATAATAATTAGATAAAAACTGAAAAAAATATTATTAATTAGGGAATCCAATCCAACTTTTAGGTGAATTCTACAGGAATTCACACCATCCAATATATCCTGTCCAATAAAGCAACTTAATTCCATGTCACAAACTTCATTCAACAATCTAAATTGCCGTGGCAAGGTGTTCCCAAGGGGAGGGTTGATAAGGGGCTTTATCCCCCAACATTCTTTTCACCTTGGTATATATGGCATACATACCTTTAAGAATAAACCAAACACCTTTATATCTTGAGGCACCAAATTTTCCTTCACTTCTATTTTCTGGATGGCATGTTTTCTGATAAACTTTTCCGGCACTTTAGGGCACTTTATGGGCTCACTTATCAAGATGTGATAGTTACTAAGGTCTATTACTTCTGCATAGCCACTATTTTTTTTTCTTTCTTTCTTTCTTTCCTTGCATTTAGACAAATGTTGGTTAAAGAAATATAATTTAAAAATGTATCATTTTTAGTCATAAAATTGCATACAAAATTTTCATTTCCTCAAAAGCACATGCACTCTCCTTTATAGGTTTTTATTTCGGAATTTGTTATCGAAAGTGATGTGCCCTCCAGAGACTAAATCTCAAACCAGGGTATTATGTGAACCCAATATCCCAAACCTAGCCTTTCTACCTTATATTTAATCCCTTGACAGGGGGGGACAAGCCCCTTGTAACCTCCCCATTAGCACTTCGTACTAATAAAGCCGGGGTAGCATATGTCAGACCTAAGGCCCCAACTCCAACAAACCAATGAATTAAGCCAGCCTTAAATATACAGACTACTGCAAAGGTTACCATATAAACCAAAAACCTTCCTATATAAAATTAGTATATTGCAATGATATGTTATCAGTTTAGTATTTCATACTGCACTGTAAAGATGCAAGTGATATACAAATATGGATGCAGTGCAATATTTGAATGCATATTATATGTACAATATGTGAGTGTGCTCCCTTTTCTTTACTTTTATGCAGTTTTGATTTGTTTTTTAGTTCATAGAACTTTAGTAATGAAAGTAATAAAAGTGAATTTGATAAAGTGAGGCCATCTATATCTAGTAATTGATTACTTTGGGAATAAGCACTTACAGCAATGAATGTATGAACAAAAAAGGCAAAATTGTAGTGGATTAGTGTATGTATGCATGCCCTTCAGGTGTCTGATTGTTAATGTAGTATTCCATTTTGGAACAAAACAGCTTCAAAAATATGTGTGCAGCTAAACTACCAACTCACTTGAACCCCTATGCCATCAGCTGTTAAGCCTGTGAATATAGGGGGTCACATACTCTCAGAGGAAAATAATGTGATGATTTTAGTTTTGATTGAATATATATATTTTTTTCTTCATTCCTTTTTCTAGTCATGGCAGTCGGCAAGAATGAAACCATTTGAACTTCAGGAAAATAAAATGATAGTACTATATACAAGCACAAAATTGATGCTGTGGAATATGAATTAGTTTGTATAGGTGTGAAGGATCTGATATTAGAAAGGGTACTCAAAGTAATTTACATGAAGACTATGAATCCCTTGCCATATATATTTTGGTGAGATAAACTTGTAATAATACCAGTCTTCACCTATCTTTGCAGAATATTTCTTAGTAGTTTGTCGTTTGTCTTTGCCAATCCTACAGATCATGGAGACCGTGGCTGTTCAATATGGCCCCAATTAGCAATAGTATTATGCTTGACTGGCCTAACTCATAATACCTTTGAATCAAAAAAGTCATTTCTTGAATAAAACATGGGAGTTTTTCAGAAGAGGACCTTATAAAGTCATGCTATGCCCTTCACACTTGTGCTCTGCTAAAGATTAATCCCCCCCCCCCCCAGGCTGTGAAATGTTGCTGCTTATATGCATGCATTATTATTCTAATAATTGATTACTTTCCTATTTTGATATCTGTATAGCATCCTTATGTGAGCCTTTACAATATTTTCTTTTTTAAAAGTAATAAGTGTTACGTTTGGTATTTAGCACAGGATAGAGTGAGTTGCAGTCGATCATCACACAAACACACATGCACATCCACATGATCATCTCTTGTACAAATAAGCATGGTGTGCATAGATGTATATTTAGCACAAAAATGCACTGCATTTCACATGTTGAAGTAATTTATTAACATAATGGTTCCTTTCTTTATGATTAACACTAGGTTCTATTGCTTTTATGTTTACTATTCATACACGGACCCACAACTAATCATTTTCACTTTTATTCACAATTTCAAACACATTGAGAGGAACCTTTTTTCACTCTTTTGTCTACAAACTTTCATGGAAGTTCAATAACATGTCCACACATCCATCTTTTTCTATGCATTCACATATATTAAAGTACACCAATATATGTAAATGGTAATTATTATGTTTTATTTATTTATTTATTTTTCTATGTTTCTTTAGTATGATTACCTAGTTTTAGCAAAATGTAGATGAAATGTTTTTGATTTAATTGAAATGACTGAATCGTAAGCTAATTTTAGATGTTTGCTTCTTATGTGGTAATAGTAATTAAAAAAAAAAAAAAAAAAAAAAAAAACGTATTGTAATGCATTTTAGTGTAGTTGGCAATGCCAGAATATAGGCTTTATATGTTTTGACTCCTTATGTACCCATTGGGTAGTTAAGTTATATAGATATTGGTGAAGAGTGACCATGTCTATATAGGGTTGATAGTTAAAGATTTGTATATTTTCAGATAAAACTGAGTTGGAAACTGCATTAAATTACCTAGAGCAGGCAGCACAATCAAATTTGGTAAGTGTCATTGTATACTGAAGTAAAGGTAAAGGCATATAGATTTTTCATGATCTGTTTCATGATTAATGACAATTTCAAAAGGTTTAATTTAGTTTAAGCTAAAAGATTTATAGAGCGCGCAAGTTTTTAAAATTGTATGATTAATACTCAAGAATATATGATCTTTAAAATTTCCTTTAATTTACAGCCAATTATAAAATTTCTTTTATTTTACAGCCAGAATATGTGAAAGTACTGAGCGATGTATTGCACCATGGAGGAAATTCCACCGTGGCCCGAATGGCCGCGGGTATTCAGCTGAAAAACACATTAGCTTCCAATGATCCCAAAGTTAAAGTACAGTATCAGCAGCGGTGGCTGGCATTTCCACCAGATGTCAGGGACTACGTTAAGGCTAATGTAAGAAGGATTATGACTTTAGTGCTTTATTTTGTATATATGCATCTAAACAAGTGGTGCCTTATTTTTGTGTATATTTATATATGAACATTTGCTTAGCTCTATATTTTACCCAAGCTCTTTATATATGGGCTTAATGCATCTGAACAGAAATTTAATTGTAAACTTTATTTCTAGGTTTTGGGAGCATTAGGTACAGAGCAAAACCGGCCAAGCTCAGCAGCACAATGTGTTGCCTACATTGCATTGACAGAAATTCCTGTAGGCCAATGGCCAAACTTAATAGACAGATTGGTAGCAAATATAACAGCTCCTGGAGCCACAGATATGACAAAAGAGTCCACTCTAGAGGCTATTGGATATATTTGTCAGGTGAGTACTATGGTCAAACAATGCTGCAATATTAGAAATGAAAAATTACTTTAATGATTTGAGATTGAAGTTTACTTCAGTTTTAACACAATGGATGTTTTGACGTTTTGTTATAACCTTGGTATTCAAACAGGTTTATTTATTTTGATAGTTGGGAGTTTGATTGTATATGAATTACTTTACTTCTTTTGTATGTATAATTTAAATTTTGTTTTTATTCATCATTTCAGGATATAGAGCCAGATGCCATAGCTTCACAGAGTAACAACATCCTCACTGCTATTGTTCATGGTATGAAGCGTGATGAACCCAATGATCATGTTAGACTCGCAGCAACGACGGCACTTCTTAACTCGCTTGAATTTACAAAACAGAACTTCGAAAGGGATGCTGAAAGACATTTTATTATGCAAGTAAGTATTTTGCTTTTTTCAGGCAACAAGTTTTTCTATTGTTTTACATTGAGATTTTCCATATAGTTACATGCATAACATAGCGATAGTATATTTAGAATAATTTGTTTATTTTTTGCAGGTGGTTTGTGAAGCAACCCAATCTACCAATACTCAAATTAAAGTTGCTGCCCTACAGTGTTTGGTAAAAATAATGTCACTATATTATCAGTACATGGAGCATTATATGGGACCTGCATTGTTTGCAGTAAGTGGTTTTAATTGTAGTTATAAAATATTGTTAAAATTCCCTGACTTAATTTGATTACATGTAATTTAATATTTTGAAATGTAATACATCTAATATAATACTGTCAGTCAGTGTGGCTGATGCTTTCATATGTATTCATTACTCTCAAAAGTGTTTTGTGATTTCTTTCTAGCACCATTATTCTCCTCTTTCCTTTTTATACCTGCATATATATCCATCTGCCACTTCTGTCAGTGTTGGGCTATTGTTAATCTCAGATAGGTATGACCACTATATTAGATAAAGTTTCTCAATTTGATATTTTCTTAAAAAGATCACACTTGAAGCCATGAAGAGTGACATAGATGAAGTAGCACTACAAGGCATAGAGTTCTGGTCGAATGTGTGTGATGAAGAAGTGGATCTTGCCATTGAGGCTTCTGAGGCAGCTGAGCTTGGCCGTCCCCCAGAGAGAACCTCTCGCTTCTATGCCAAGGGAGCATTGCAGGTGTGTTATCGTAGTATTGGGTATCTACATTGATTGTATTGCATATGAAAATTTTTGATGGAAATCATTTTTCAGATATTTTAGTTTGAACATTTCTTTCTTATAGTATCTAGTCCCAGTACTGATGATGACACTTGGAAAGCAAGAGGAAGCAGATGATGATGATGAGTGGAACCCCTGTAAAGCAGCTGGAGTGTGTGTTATGCTTCTTGCAACATGTACTGAAGATGATATTGTACCCCATGTCCTGCCTTTTGTAAAGGAGAATATTAAGCACACTGACTGGAGACTCCGAGATGCAGCGATAATGGCATTTGGTTTGTATAGAATTTTGTTGCATAAAACCCCTGAAAGTTCTAGTATTTAATGTAATAAATTGTCAGTTGTTTTTCTTTATAAATGAGCACCAGGTTTGATTTTAACTAATCAATCAGTCTTTATAAATAAAAGCAAACTTGTTTTACAGGTTCGATTTTGGAAGGTCCTGATCCAACCAATCTTAAACCAATGGTGGAACAGGCAATGCCAACCCTGATTGAGGCTCTTAGTGATTCGTCTGTAGTGGTGCGAGACACAACAGCTTGGACTCTGGGTCGAGTGTGTGAACTAATCCCAGATGCAGCATGCAATGACACTTACCTCAAGTTATTGCTAGAAGCATTAGTTCACAGCTTGAAGGGAGAACCAAGGGTGGCATCAAATGTCTGCTGGGCTCTCAGTTCACTAGCTGAAGCTGCCTATGAACAGGCGGATACTGGAGAAGTTGACGGCGAGCCACCAACCTATTGTCTGTCTGCATTCTTTGACCCCTTGGTAGATGTTCTTTTGCAAACTACAGACAGAGCTGATGGAAACCAGTGTAATTTAAGAAATGCTGCCTATGAGGCCCTCATGGAACTTATGAAGAATTCTCCAAGGGATTGTTATCCAACTGTCCAAAAAACTACTATGATAATTTTGGAGAGGCTTCAGCAAGTATTGCACATGGAGTCTCAGATTCAGTCCCATAGCGATAGGGTTCAGGTGAATGATATTCAGTCGCTGTTATGTGCAACTCTCCAGTCAGTCTTAAGGAAAGTAACCCCTGAAGATGCTCCAAAAATCAGTGACCCCATCATGGCTGCTCTGCTGCAGATGTTCCAGACGTCTCAGGGCAAGTCAGGGGGCGTGCAGGAAGATGCACTCCTTGCTGTTTCTACTCTGGTAGAGGTGTTGGGGCATAACTTCTTGAAGTACATGGAAGCATTCAAGCCTTTCTTGTCTTTGGGCCTGCGAAATGTTGAAGACTACCCTGTATGCTCAGCTGCCGTGGGGGTTACAGGAGACATATGTCGTGCTCTGGGTGATAAAGTAGAGCCATTCTGCGATGAACTGATGTCCATGTTGGTAGAGAATCTTGGGAATAATAATGTTCACAGAAATGTGAAACCATCCATACTTTCAGTATTTGGTGATATGGCTTTAGCTCTAGGACCCAAGTTTACCAAATACTTGGAAGTGGTCCTTCAAATGCTTCACCAGGCATCTCAAGCCCAAGTTGATCGCTCAGACTTTGATATGCTGGACTATCTTAATGAATTACGTGAAAGCTGTTTGGAGGCTTATACTGGTATTGTTCAGGGTTTAAAAGGTGATGGGGCAACACCAAACCAGGAAGTGCAGCTCCTGCGTCAACATGTGCCCCATATGATCTCTTTCATAACTTCCGTTGCTACAGATGATGAAAAATCTGATCCTGTTATTGCTAGTTCAGCTGGTCTGATTGGGTGAGTTGAGGATAAATTAGTCGTCTATATGTTGGAAAACATGTGCAAATTTTGATATAAAATTTTTGATATGTATTTTTAACATTTTTAAATACTTAATTTAGATTGAGGTTATCGCACAACATTTTCTCACATCTGAAATTTCTCAATGCTAACAGAATTTCTTTTACCACAGGGACTTGTGCTCTGTGTTTGGAACAGACATGCTGCAATTGGTGGAGACTGATCCTATCACCAATCTGCTCTCTCAAGGCCGGCGCTCCAAGACTTCGAAGACAAAGACCCTTGCAATGTGGGCAACTAAAGAAATCCGTCGCTTGAAAAACAACAGCACTTGGTAAGTACTCTTAGGTAGGTGATATGTTGGCTGTGGGTAAAGGGTTAACTTAATGGGGCTCTGGATACTAACATGTTTCTTCTAGGTGTCTACATTCCTAAGCTAAGCACATGGTCTGGATATGTGAAAGTTCATACATTACTTGCCTATGTTTTTATATTTCTATGTTCAGTGTTAAATAAATGTATGAAAAAACAGTACATAATTTCTGACTGACTGTCATATCTTGAGCAAGTAACTTGTGGACCTTCATAATTCTAGGATTGGCAGATGGTTTTAGCTTACAGATTTTAGAGACATATTTAGAGGGATGAAATGGGAAATGAAGATTGAAGCTCTTCAATTTTTCACTCAGGATATTTATTCAGAAAAGAAGGTTCAGGAGCAATACATATATTGTATAGATCTAAACTTTTTGGTTAAATGGCTCAATTAGAGTATTACTGATAGCCTTAAAACCCTTTTGGATAGATATGATTTGTAGGGTTTTAAGCATAATGATAATGAGATTATAGAGGCAGGGAAGATCAACAGATCTTAATAATTCATTCATTTAATTTATTCACATATGTTCCAATTCATTTATTCACACTTTCACTCTCTCATTTACTTGCTCACGTGCTTACGTAGTCTTTCACTTACAGTACATCCATTCCTAGGAAAGGAAATACTAGCAGTTCACCCTCGACTCTTAGAGTACTCCAACTCGCCAAAGTTTATTTTATTGTTGTCAAATGATATTTGCTACTAATGTACACATTTTGTATTTTAAGACTTGTATGCATTATTTTTATAGCTTTTAACCCATTAGCAACGGGTGTCCCATATGAGATACCCCCAAAAATGAACATTGCCGGGCGTCCCGCCAGTGTGACGCTGTATCGGGGCTCGCGCTCCGATGCAGCACTGGGCTGCGGCTGGCGGGCGGACAGACTACCAATTTTGTAGCTGACCGGAATATTTTATTTTTGGCTTCAAAATATACTGGTGTGAATGGGTTAATAGAAATCTACTCTTCTCAATTCCACTTTATTCTTTCTTAAAAGCGATTTGGCAAATTGGATTATTCAAGAGTCTGGGGCGAGTTGCTAGATTTTTCTTTCCTGTGGTACGATGGAGTATAGTCACTAGCTTGTTTACTCGTTCACTCACTCACTCATGCATACTCCTGTTATTCATCCTACTTGCTCAGTCTTGTGCTCAATCAGTATTCTGGCACATTCACAGCTATTCACTTTTGGCTTTCAAGCCATTCATCTCTATTTTCAGGTATAGATTTGATATTAGGACTATTTTCTTTGATATATGATAGTTTTATTTATAAGTATTTCTGGGGTTATGGGAATATAGGAGTTGAATAAAGTACATAAACTAAATAAAGGAACATAAAATACCCACACTTCTTTCAGAATGTTAAGGTGCCTGTTCTATATTTATAAATTTTCTTTTGAATGTACTGAGACTGTATGGTAAAATCTGGTGATATGAAAGCTTTCCTCAACCACAGCTTGTGTGAGAAATGCTTCACTCTTCCAAAGTGTGTCTTTGAGAGAATACAAGTTCTTTTGTATACCAGATAGTCATCACATTGTTTAGGGGAGGTGGAGGGAAGTACGTGTGACTGGATTACGTCTTAAGTGTCATCTAACTGGTAGTAGCCCCTAACTTGGCTTTTCAGATGAGTGGCGAGTTTAGTCTGTGGTGAGTCGATGCAGTGAGTCAGATGCGGTGTGTCTGCATGGAGTGAGGGAAGAGCGTTGCCCGGCTGTGGTGAGTGGTGACCGTTCAGCGCGTGGGGTGTGTGGTGAGTGAACAGACAAACATGGACGATCGCAAGTGCGGCAGTTTGGCCGAATGTGCGATGACGACCGGATGGCCTCGGAAGAGTGTGAAAATATCTAAAACTTTTCTTGAATGACGGGAATATCTTCTTTTATGAGAATATCAGAAAATCATTTCCAGTGAATCATTCCAGCTCCCAGGAAAAGATCTGCCTCATTTGCTCTGTAAAGCATGTAAAACTTTTCCAAAGTGAGTCCTATTTATGAACTGTGGTTTTTGAAAGCCAGTCCTTTCAAGTGCCTTTATGTGGGAATGAATGGTGCTGTAGCCATGAGTCGGGTACCCTACTGGTAACTGATCCATCTACTGTAATATAAATACAAGTGGGGATAGTATTCCAGGGTGTCTAGTCAAGGGTACAAAGGATTTTCAACTACTACCACTTCAATTCTGTTAGTGTTAGCCAAGTTAATCTATTCTATCTGCAGGGCAGCCTTCTGCTTTATTCCAATGCAGGTCTTTATAGATTTTCTGAGTCCTCTTTAAGACACAGTCTGCCAAATAATCTACCAATCAGTAATTTTTTTTTTTTTTTTTTTTTTTTTTTTTTTTTTTTTCTTCTTCTTCTTTCTCTTCATAAACTATTGAAGAACATTCTTGAAAGTAGTTAAGATCAATTTGGGATAATGCAGATAATCTTTTCCTGTTATTATACATCCTCAGTTAGTCTCCTAGTTCTTCGGTGACAGCACATGTGTGTTTAGGGCACTAGAATGGGATGCGGCTCTAATTGTTCTTTAGTGGCATTTTGAGGCACATAAAAACTGAAATCATGAACATGAGTACCACCTAAATATTTCAAACAGTATTTCAAATGGTTATGCTCAATTTTTTTTTTCTAATTTGTTTTTCTTTTTGTTATGCATGTTAAATTTAAATTAAAAAAGAGGTTATTATTCCCTGTCAGGTTCTCTTGAATGAAGTATAAATTGTGTGCTGCTGTTTGCAAGCAATAGTGAGTTGGATAGTAATGGTATCAGCTGATGATTATTGACTGGCTAATATTTCCCCCCATGTACACAAGTGAGCCATGTCAAATCCCTCTTAGTTTGTGATTGCTAATGTTGCATTTTGCAGTGTAAGCCCTAAATGTGCAATGTGAGAACTGAGGTGTGTCTGCAAGTTGTTGGAAGAGAGGACATAAACCCAGTACAATTTAGTTTTGATTTTGCGTGAATGAATCTTAATGTATATGGGTTAAATCTTTCTTCCACTTACTTGTGGAAACTTAGTTGATACCAACAACCCACCTAAGTGACTGAACTGGTACAGTGATAGAAGATAATTTGCAATTCAATAGATAATGGTTTCAAATCTTGAGGACAATGTTACAAAGCTTCATTTTCCAAGTACATAAGTTTCCTTATTTAAAGAGGTTGGGTAGTATGGTTAAGTTTTAACACTGTGCTCAAGTTAGAGGATTTCTAAAGATGCCAAAAATGGTACCATGGAAGGAGCAAATCTGCTGCAGTCCTGTGACTGGTGAATGCTTGACTGTGATAAAGAGGCCCTGTGTGATGTGGCGCTGAGTAAGTGTGTGGTGCAAGATGCTGTGCAGTCCAGTAGTGTTATGAACGTAAAGTGAAATGGACTGAATGTTAACTTTCACACCACACTTCTTACACAACAACTGCAAAATTCCTGAGGAAGATGACTAAGAGTACTGGAGTGTGGATAAGTTTACACACTTGGACTATACATGAACAATAGGCGCGCATCCGGTGCTTTCTTCCTTGCCATGTTAGCACATTTCCCGCATGTTAGCAACCTGGGAAGTTGAGAGGTCTTTGATCTTGCACCATTCTTCCTGGGTCTGGCATGCTGACATCCCAGTGACGTGACTCAAGTGACTGAGGGTGCGAGTGCAAATTTGTTCGTTCTTGAAGGACGTGTGACTGTGATACTGTGTTCCTCTAGTGCAAATGATACTGTGTGAGTGTGTACATTCCACCAGATGGTGTAGTATTAGTGTACAGAAACAACACAAAGTTAAACTAATGAACCTGCAACAAAAGTTCATGGTTTAGCTCATGTAGAAATGTAACTTGTTATTGCCTCCAAATAGACAGAGCTTTGTGTCTGAAACTCTTCACTAAAGTTATTCATGACATACATGATGTAATTTCAGTGTGTGGATAAACCTAGTGTATTTTTTTCACAACCCGTTGATATTCAATCTGTTTCATTTATAATTTGATTACTTCTTTTGGTACTTTAAGGCTAATAATTTTCCTTTAATAAACCCTGTACTATATTTACAAATGCAAACCTTTGAATAAATAAGTTTGTGAGAAATGTTTACATTTTTTTTTTTCCTTTTCCTCAGTGTAATTTGAGAAAATGCTTTCTGATTTTGCATTTTTTCTTGTGGAAATAACAACGTGAGACCAGTGAAATGTATAACATTGAAGTAATTGTGTTCATGTAATGTTTATTTTATTCCTCATGAATTCTCTCCATAGTACTAATGATTACACTAGAGGCATTCACTGGAATAGTGACTTGTGCACAGAAACCATGAGCTAAGTTATTCAGAGGTGATCTCACTATGTTGGGATGGCTGGGACACATCCACAGGTGTAATACAAGACTAAACCATATTCAGTTTATATGCTTCAAAGAGCACTTATGTAAAGCCAGACAGTGGAAAAGTCATAAACATATATCCAAAATAAATATTGCAGAAGTAACCAAATCTTATTCTCCTTTCTTGACAATATAATTCCAGAACAAAGTTTCAAAGTGGTCATGCACAACTTGTTAGCAAAATCTGGTAATAAATTCAATTTCAATTTATTGGAAATGCCTTAGATTTTGACTTTGACAGCAAAGCAAAGTAATGTTCTTATTGCCCACTGATTATTGTTACATCTTCATGAACTTGCATACGTTTACTGATTGGAGGTTATATTTTGGTTATTATTATTATTGCTTTTTTGTACAAAATGGTCCTGTTGCTAGTGAAATTAATAAGGGTTTCTTTAATCAGTGCCTCTTTGGGTATTTTTACCCACAGATCTTGTATTTTTGTTATTTGTCAAGTATTTCTGAATGTTTGTGACAATATTTATTATCTTCAGCTAAATGAATATAATCATGCATATCATGCTTCCATTTCATTATGTAATTTTGTAAGACTGCTTGGGTTTCTAGCCTTTTGCAAGAGTTTGTGCAATCTTTTTACACGAGTATGAAACTGCAGATAACAAAAGGTAAGAGCAAGAAAATGTCCTCACAGTATTAGAGATGATCTGTTGAAGATACCACTGATCTGTAATGACCAGATGCTATTTTAACCCCAAGCCGCCGGCCATGGCAAGTACGTACATGCCATTGCACATTGTGTTTTTACATATAGATGGCTCCACAAGTACTGTCACCAATGAGCCAATTAGGCAAACTACTTGTCTCACCTGTTTACTCTTTTCCTTGATTTTTGATATTTTCTATTACTGCTGTTATTAATATCAGTAACATTATAGTAATTATAATGTTTATAACAAAAATGAGTCAGTATTGATAGCATTAGAAAAAAAAAAAAAAAAAAAAAAAAGCCTTTTCCATCTCTTGCAAGGAAAAGCGAGGTCACAAGATCTACTAATTGACTCCTTTGTGGCTAAGCATTGGCAGAGCCATCTATGTACAGAAACATTTAACCAAGCATTGCCAAAGGAAACGCACCATTTTCCAGTCAACATTGGGTTAAGCTGATCTTGTTTCCTGAGAGAGAACACAATGTACACAAGGTTTCCATAAAGCTTATGAAAACCAGACCGTTAGCATTTTTGTGTTCACTATATATGATTAGACTGAATCTGCTATTTCAAGGTAAATATGTTTTAGCAATTCCGGATTGGGATAGCTTATAGCAAAACGTGTAACCAGTCATCATGACCATATATTGTCAGGTTATCAGGTTGATATTGTTGGAGGTTCCTGCAGTTTGATTTTACTTCAGTTAGAATTTTACAGAGCACTAAAAAGTGTCATTAAACTTATTGTGGAATGCAAACTACGGCATTAGCAGTATGGAATTAACCTTTTTTATCAGAGGATCCCCATGATTTTGCTTATAATAAAGTCAATTTTTTAAAAATTTATGCATTGAAGGATTTAAGCAAAACTTAAAAAGCCCAGAATTGAACTATAGGTATTGGTTTTTCAATTTCAGAACAGTTTAAAGTTCAGGTGCTAAAAAAATGAATGACTACAAATTTCCAAGTCCTTTTTGTATGGTACTAGGTGTGAAGAAAATCACGAGATAGAACCATTATTTTGTATACATCCCCAATAACTCTTACACTATGTACTTCATTAATTTTGTTCACTTGCAGATGGCATGATAAATGCTTAGGTCACATTGATCAATTACTAGGCCTACCTAGTCTTGGCAGTTTCCGTTGAGAGTTATTGGTTGCCTTTAATATTGCTGATGTTTATTACTTAACAATAATGTCAATAATATAATGCCTGTACCATCATAATGCTATTAGAAATAACTTACCCTTCCTGAAAATTCAAGGAATGGGGTAAACTGGGGGTAAATTATTTACATCTTGGCAACCCCCCTCCCACACACACACAAACATACACAATCCCTTGCTCTGCATTGTCATAGGCGGCTTAGGAGATAGAGACTGAGGCCGAATGTAGGGATCAGCCGTTCCTTCAACTAATTTTTCCTTTTTCTGTCCACATCCTAAAGTGTGAGAACCATGCTGAAAGTCTGAAAATCTGGCTTTGGGTCAGTTCTGTATGGCCTTTCTACGCTGGTCTTCTCATTTTACCCTTTTCACTACCATACTAACGTACAGCGCACTACAACCTAACATGTTTTGTTCTAATTAACTACTTTTTAACCTTTTTGACACAATTCTTGTTGATAGTGGTGTATGACCTTTCCTTACCTGGGAGCTTTTGCCTTCAATTTCATCCCATTGCTATATTCTGCATACACAGTTAATTATCTTAGATGTTGGTGTGGCAGAAAATTTTAATAAATAAAATTCTTGGAAACTAAGTACCTGTGAAGCCATCTATTTGTGAACAAAATTGACAAACTACAGGTATCAGTATTTATATCTGGAACCAGTGTTAACATGTGGCCATATATGATTGCCAGAATAAAATTGTTAGGTCAAATGCTTTACTATAAAGGATATCCTCACCGACCTCCCAACATATCAGACATCCTTACAGAATCTCACAGCTTCTGCCTCGACAACCTGTTCTCCTTCCTCAGACACAAATATCCTTCACTTGATCTAACTCCCTTACCTAAACCACCATAATCTTTTCCCTCATCTTCAACCTCTCAACACTATTCTAGATAGTTGACACATAACTATCACCTGACATCCTCCTTTACTATACTTTCCTATAGTGCTATATGACCTTAGATGTCTAGCACATTTATCTTAACCATTAACCATTACTATAAAGGAATTGGGAGTTATTACAAAACCAGACAAAAAAATCCTGGGTAATCCTTTGTGACATTTTTTCATTCTGTTTAACTCTAATAAACATTGGTGTGATGTCAATGAAGTTATACCTTGAAAAGAATAAGTAAAGCCCATTTTAACAAAAAGGTTTTATTGTATTTATATACATTTCTGTCATGATTAAAAATGTTCAAAATGGATACTGAGGGTTTTACAAAAGAAAGAGAAAATGAAGAAGCAGGGAAAAGCAGGTTTACAGTAACTGCTATAAAGTGGTGTACATGAAGTAGCATGTTATCAATAAATAATCTTTGCATATTGTATGTATTAATTACAACTTTGGTCACATTAATGCAACAGCTATTGCATCTTGCTCTTTAATTACAAAAGTGACTCCAAACAAACAGATTGAAGCAAGGGCAAATAATAATGTAAATATATTTAACCCTGTTCACCACTCCACTCATTCTCAGTAAACAATCTTGCATTGACTGAGGTACACTTAACAAGTCTGACAGAATTGTTTATCTTCAGAAGTGAGACCTTTAATGAAGTTTTACTGAAACACTAGGGTGAAGGAAAAAGTACACTCAAAGGAGTCTTTGTACCTCATACACGTGCATACATTTAGTACCTATACAAAAATTAAGTTCTAATATAAAACATTACATTTTCACTGTGTGTAAACATTCACATACAGGCATTTAAAAAATAAATAGGTTTACAAGATACTTAAATTGTAATCTCATTGATGTATAATTGCAAAATGTTTTATTTCTAATGAATAAGAATTTCTCATGCCTCATATCGCTACTTGGCTTTAATTTACTTGGGCAATGGCAAAGCCTGCCTC